AATAGTTGTGTGCGAACCTGATGCACGCAGTGGCCACATACCCGAATTGGTCCATCAGATTAGATTTCTCTGCGTCGCAGGTACTACCCCACGATTATGGTCGAGCGCATGCTGCTCGAACCCGTCTGGCTTCGCGGCCGCGAGCAGCAAGGCCACTCGCGCCACCTGATGTTGTTGGCTTTCGTCAAGTCAAGGCGAAAGAAAGTATCAGAAAATAATGCATGCATGTCTTCAGAGGCTCTTGAATGTGTCACGGATGCCGTTTCCGGCCGCTTGGAGGACGGTTGCCCGAGGAATGCATGCAATCGTCGAGGTACCCACATGTGCGCGTGAAGTGTTTGATGTGAGAGACGCCGTGCCGTTGTTGAAGAATGGGTTGAGGAGTCTGGATCCGAATGTTTCGGGAAGATGTTTCAGGTGCGGGTCCCCCATGGGGTCCATGACGGTAATCAGTGTTGACATTGTCCACGCATTCGAGGCCTGCAAATCATCGCGGGTTAGGCCTGCATGGGCACGTTTCTCCAGGAGGCACTCGGAAGTGACCCAGTCCCTGGACATTTATATCCAGAGTGGTCGGAAGTTTCGATATCGCCTGCCATCGGAGGGTGCGTGGTCACGTAGTCGGTTCTGCTTATCCATGGGGCTCATCGCTCTAGCTCTGCAGAGTGCCATGGTTTTGAGCCTAGTCACGCACGGCTCCCTGGTCATTGAACTTGTTGGGTTATCGGTCGGTGCAGTGATGCCCACTGCCGCGGTGCCCGCCGTAGTTGGCGATAAGGAAGCAATGTTCTTTGAAGGTGCTGTCGCGGTCCCAGGTGTTCATGCTGGTCTCTCCCACGGGTAGTTCCCGGAAAGGGCTTGAGCCCAGGGTTCTCTTTTAGATGGTTTCCCCCCGGGTTTGACGGGAAGAGGGCCGGCGAATTTCCTTTGCGATAAATAACGAGTGGGAAGAGGGCCGGCGAATTAAAATTTGAGGATGTCCCTAGCGAAACGCTTGTTTTTCAGAATTTGTTGAGGATGTCTCGAGCGAGACGCTGGTTTTGCAGAGTTGGGGATGTCTCGAGCGAAACGCTTGGTTTCAGAATTTGTTGAGGATGTCTCGAGCGACACGCTGGTTTTGCAGAGCCGACCGCGACACGGAAAAGCGCCCCTCGCGCAGGAATTCCAAGGATGTCTCGCGCGTGCCGCGTCCCGCGCGCGGGTATTTGGATTTCTTGGGATTTTGACAGGATGTCTCGAGCGAAACGCTTGTTTTTCATAATTTGTTGAGGATGTCTCGAGCGAAACGCTGGTTTTGCAAAATTGGAGGATGTCTCGAGCGGTGGCCTCGTGGGGGGCCAGAATTCAAAGGATGTCTCAGGCGAAATGCTTGTTTTCACGTCCCGCTCGCAGGAATTCCGAGGATGTCTCGCGCGTGCAGCGTCCCGCGCGTAGGAATTCAATGATTTTGACAGGATGTCTCGAGCGAAACGCTTGTCCCCAGCACGTTCCGTAGCGCGTCCCCTTGGCAGGTCCCGCGGTGCGTCCCCATGGCACGTCCCTTGGCACGTCGCTTGGCGCGTCCCTTGAGACGTTCTGCGTCGCGTCCTCCTGGCATGTTCCCCTGTCCATTAGCTCTGGGGCAGCTACTATGTGTTCAGGCAGCTCGAGCTTAAGATCCAGATCAGTTCGGTCAGGACTCGGATGCAAAGGAGGACTCGATCCACGAGGCTATAGAGCACAATCGCGCCATGGCACATCGCAATTCAGCACGGCGCAGCACAGCACTGATTTCGGCACGGTACATCAAGGTCGATGCACTCAGCATTGCAACTTGGCACGTTCCTTGGCACGTTCCGTGGGGCGTCCTTTGGCGAGTCCCCCTGGCACGTCGCGTCGCGCGTCCCCTGGCACATCCCGTGGCACATCCATTGGCACGTTCCGTAGCGCGTCCCCTTGGCACGTCCCGCGGTGCGACCCCATGGCACGTCCCCTGGCACGTCGCCTGGCGCATCCCTTGGGACGTTTCGCGGCGCGTCCTCCTGGCATGTTCCCCTGTCCATTAGCTCTGGGGCAGCTACTATGTGTTCAGGCAGCTCGAGCTTAAGATCCAGATCAGTTCGGTCAGGACTCGGATGCAAAGGAGGACTCGATCCACGAGGCTATAGAGCACAGTCGCGCCATGGCACATCGCAATTCAGCACGGCGCAGCACAGCACAGCCCTCGGCAGGGTACATCAAGATCGATACCTTCAGTATTGCATTTGCCCGTCACCCAATCAGGTGTCTTTGAAAACGCTGCCATGTGTTACAGTTCTACATTCCTTTCCGGGTTCGTGGGTCGATCATGTTTTTTTCGGGCAGTCTTCTGGCTTCAACACGTCGATGGCATCATTGGAGCTTCGAATACTTCTTGCGTTGGCTGTGTCAGGATCCTGTTTGCCTCGATTTACTCTGAGCCCCATATCGGTCGTGTTCGAGAGCAGTTGCAGTGGTTCCGACGAGCCCCGTCTAATTATGTGAGTTGCTTGACCGAGAGTTGCATGCATTCACCCAGAAAGTCAATTGGATGATCAAGAACCCCGCGCTTGGATTTTTGGCCGTGGACCACAAACAGAAGAGCAACCTGCTCCCATGGCTTGATCAGTCGCCCACGCCTTTGCGAGACTTCGAGGTCAGTTGTTGGGGAGATTCTCGAGGTGCTTCTCGTTGGAGCTGGCTCGTGGACTGCATTTGTCGTGATTACGGAGTTCCCCTTGGACTTGTTAAGGCTGCAGTATTCCATCTCGTATAGTTGCTCGTTGGTTGATGTTACTATATGTCCCCTTATCCTGTAGTTGTTCAGGCTCGAAGCTCCTCGAGGTCATTGCATCACAGCCAGAAGCAGCTAGAGATGGGAACTCATCATGACGGGTGGTCAGCAGCAACCTCGTGGGCAAGTGTTTGGCAACCGACACGGCAGACCAGGCAGAACGACCGTGATCGAGATCGCGCTCGAGAAAGTACAAACATAATAAGAATACGAAGAGTAATAAATCATGCCGAGCAGCTCGAGCAGTTCAGGTACGGACGACCAGATTAAGGTTGCGGAGCGGATTCTCTTGAAGCGTAGCAAGCGATACCAGAAGTTCGTGGAGTCCGCGTAGGCTGCCCGCACCAAGGAGTACGAACGGCAGGGCAAGATCATCGCAGACGCGATAGGTCCGCAACTGTCCTCCGCCATCGCCGCCAACGCGGTCCAGGCCGGTGTCCCGGCTGCGGGGATTGGCGCTATCGTGCCAGCAGCTGCGGCCCTGCCAGCCCCGTCGCATCCTTTCCAGCCAGCGCCGCCGTCAGTGATCACGCCGCCTACTACGCTCACGGCCGCCCAGCGTGCCTACATCGTCGTGGAGTGTGGCCACGTCTTCAAGCTGGATAGTGGCACGCTCAAGGAGAAGATCAACGAGAGGAGGTCGAACGTGAAGGTCCCCAAAGGCGTGGACCGCATCATCAAGGACGTGGGCCAAGGGGTGGCCCCCCCGAGGCCCAAGGAGAAGCAGATCGACACGCTCTTCGAGATCGCCAAGAACAAGGCCTGAATCGTGTTCGCACCAGTGGAGCACGCTGTCCGCACTGTCATGTTCATCGTGAGAGCGCTCAATCTATTTGTTGCTCTCGGCATTGCGTTCTATCTTGGTTGTCGCTGCGGGCATTCGGTTATAAAGTGGGAAATGTAAGCCACGGCACGTGACTTTCTTGTGGAGAATGTTGGTTCCATGTTGGTCTCTCACTTCACTGGAGGGGCAGTACCTGTAGGAGCTGCAATCATGGCAGCAATGAGTAACTTTGGAGCATCGTGGATCGGAGGGAGAGTCGGGAGGCCGCATTTTGCAGACCATCGGATATGGACAATGAGCTTCGCTGATACTCGGGCGCGTGTGAACGGAGAGTCTTCTCTCCTGAGAAGTGCTACCCTGGGTCTTTTGCAGCTCCCTGGAGGGCTATCATCTCTGCATATTCCCTTGGGCTCAGGAGCCTATGCTGGCACAGATGCTCAGTCGCGTAAGGCTCGGTCTCGCCTGAGCCATGCCAAGCACTACAAACTGAAACACTGTACGCATTGGGAACAGCGATGAGAAAGCACATCATCATCATCATCATCATCATCATCATCATCATCATCATCATCATCATCATCATCATCATCATCATCAGCAGCAGCAGCAGCAGCAGCAGCAGGTTTACCAGCATCATCATCATCGCCAACATCAACACCATCATCATCATCATCATCAGCATCATCATCATCAGCATCATCATCATCAGCATCATCATCATCAGTATCATCATCATCAGCATCATCATAAGCATTGTCATCGTTATCGTCATCGTCATCGTCATCATCATCATCAGCATCAGCATCACCATCATCACCATCACCATTACCATCACCATCACCATCACGATCACCATGATCATCACCACCATTGCCATCATCATAATCATCAGCATCATCATCAGCATCAGCATCAGCATCATCAACAACATAATCATCAGCAGCATCATGAAAAGCATTGTCATCGTTATCGTCATCGTCATCGTCGTCATCATCAGCATCAGCATCACCATCATCACCATCACCATTACCATCACCATCACCATCACGATCACCATCACCATGATCATCACCACCATTGCCATCATCATAATCATCAGCATCATCATCAGCAGCAGCATCATCAACAACATCATCAGCAGCAGCATCATCATCACCAACATCATCACCGACATCATCACCAACGTCATCATCATCATCATCATCATCATCATCAGCAGCATCAGCATCAGCATCAGCATCAGCATCAGCATCAGCATCAGCATCAGCATCAGCATCAGCATCAGCATCATCATTGCCGCCGCATTCGCCGCCATCACCATCGCCATCGCCGTCGCCATAGCCATCGCCGTCGCAGCTGCCGCCGCCGCCGTCTTCATTGTCGTCGTCGTCGTCGTCGTCATCCTCGTCGTCGACCCGTTGGCGCCTTGACCGCTGGGAACCCCGCCGCCCAGGGCTCCTCCGCCAGCGCCGACGCCTCTTGCGCCCGCCTCGCGGCCGCGTGGTTTTTGCAGCCGTCGTCGCCGTTGCCGTGATCGTCGTCGTCGTCGTGACCGGCGTCGTGACAGTCGCGTCGCAATCAGCGTCGTCGCGGTCGTCGTCGCGATTACAGTCGTCGTCGTCGTCGTCGTCGTCGTCGTCGTCATTGTGATCGCGCTCATCGTGAACGTCGTCGTTATCGTCTTCGTCGTCGCCGTCGTTGTGATCGTCGTCGTCGTGATCGTAGCCGTCGGCACAGGAGGAGAAGGAAGGGAGGAGGAGGTATCCGCCGACCCTGTCGGCGTGTGTGGGGTGTCTGTCCCGTCCCGTCGACGGGGGGCCTTGTTTCGTCCCCTCCTTCCAATCCTCCTCTCCCGTCGGGGGAGAGAGAGAGAGAGAGAGAGAGATAGAGAGCACCCTTTTCCGTTCGGGGAACGGGTTCGCAGCTTGAGGGAATGCCATCCACGTCCTCATTACGTCAAAGGGAAGCCCCTTCCCTTTGTCCCTTGCCCGGCGGGGGGGGGGGGGAGGTCCCTTGGGGGGGGGCTTAGATTCGCATCACCTCTGGGGGTCCTCCTCTCCCACGCCGGTCCTTCTCCGGCGCGCCAGTCCTCCTCGGGTCCTCCTCCCCAGGTGGGGAGGAATCCCAGGAGGGGGAGGGGAGTCAGATAATTTCGCATCCGTCTTTGGGGGTCCTTCTGCCCCTCCCCATCCCCTCTCCCACGCCGGTCCTCCTCAGGTCCTCCTCCCCAGGGGGGGGGGGCCATGGAGGAGTCCTTTTCCTCCTCCTTCTCCTCCTCCTCCTTGTCTCCGCCTCCTCCTCCTCCTCTCCTCCTCCTTCTCCTCCTCCTCCTCCTCCTCCTCCTCCTCCTCCTCCTCCTCCTCCTCCTCCTCCTCCTCCTCCTCCCCCTCCTGGTCGTCGTCGATGTCTTTCAGGGTCGGTGGCACCGGCCGTCAGACCTTCACAAGAAGGGATGAGAAAAGGAAGGAGGAAGGGAGGAGGGAAACAGGAGAGGGGGGTGCGAGATTGATTCCGTGCAAGACCTGCCGACAAAGATGCAGCACTGCATTGGCCGAAAACAACCAGTTTAGAACAAGGGTACACTGGTGAGTACAGTCAGCGCGGACGCCCAGGAACTCTGAAAGCAGTGCAAAAACACCCCAGCGACTGAGCGGGAGGAGGAGGGGGAGGAGGAGGGGGAGGAGGAGGGAGGAGGGAGAGGAGGAGGAGGAGGAGGAGGAGGAGGAGGAGGAGGAGGAGGAGGAGGAGGAACAGGAGGAGGAGGAGGAGGAGGATGAGGAGGAGGGAGGAGGGAGGAGGGAGGAGGGAGGAGGGAGGGAGGAGGAGGAGAAGGAGGAGGAGGAGGAGGAGACGCAGAAAGGAGAAGCGGCTGTGGAGCACGGCCGCAATGCTGCCTGCGTTGAGCACAGTGAAAGTGTCAGAACGCAGGGAGGCTCCTGGTCCTTTTGGATGGAGGCCCCCCCCTGCTAACTGTTTGCCTTCTGCTGCCCCGTCCTCCTGGCCATTTGGGGTGTTTGCATTTTGTTGCCCCGTCCTTCTCCTCTCCCTCCTCTTCCTTGCAGTGCAGGCTGTGTTGAGCTTCTTTTCCCGCCCACGCGCTGGACGGAGTATGGCTCTTGCGTTGCGTTGCCCCCTGCTGATTCAATTCAAACTATCCTGGTTTCATTTGCTCTCGATTCTTCCGGGATCGAGCCGAAGACACATCCACTGCCCACTCAACGCTACAAGGCAAGCGCCAGGATAATTACATGTGCAAGCTGCGCAAACGGCCTCGAGGGAGTCGCTGGAACAGTAAAACACAAAACCGTTGTGGTTAGGACCCCCAAGGTCTGAGCATCAGTCAAGAGGGATCGCTTGCAGTGGCCAGGGGGGGGCTCGATGTGGCCAGCACCCCGGGACGTACGCAAACAAGCCTGGCATAACCCAAAACGCTGAGGACCGTGGTCCGTGGATTGTGATCGCTGCCTCCTCTCAACAAGGCTGGACGAGGGCACGCCGGAGAGGTCGCACTTGGGCGACAAAAGCGAAAGGTCGGCAGCAGTGCGGCAAACCACATTGGCACTCCTGGTGGCGGCATCGATGGCTTCCAACTCAGCCGAGGAGAAGTTGGAGTTACGAGTCCGAGTGAGGAGAAGAAGGAACAGATCGGCAAACCTGCGCTGGAGTTGATGGAGGAGGCATTTTCACGTTACTTGGTTCAGCTGTTTCTGCTCCAGACTCCCAGGCGGTCGCGATCATAGGCCAAAGCACGGAGGACCATTTTGGCAGTGTGTCCGTGGCGATCTACATGGCGATGGTGAGCCTTGTGACCATCGCCGTGATCAGTCTCAGCTAGAAAGTTGGCGAATTTCTAGATCGCAAGTTACAGCCTGTAAACGAGGACACCTCGAAGTGCGTGAAAGATGCAGCTACAAAATACAGCCTCAAGGACGTGATTCAGATTCCCGAGGTCGAGGATATTGTCGAGAAGTAGCTGCTATCAGTGTTCACGGCGATGACCATAGATGAAGGGCGGGAGTACCTACGCAGGAGGAAGTTGACCCGACCCTATTCACACAACACTAAGATCCAGATCGCGGAGCTCTGTGTGCGAGGAGCTATGATTCAGATCAAGTGTGGCATGACTGACAATCTGTATGGATTTCTGGAGGATTGGCTGCCAGTCTCGGTCACTCGCGGCAAGTACTGTCATTTTTCATTTGACGTGTCCTGACTTGGCTGCTACTGCATATGGACCCGAGGAGGAGTCAAGGAAGCATGATATTTGATGGGAGACGTGAGTGGGGTTGAGCGCTCAGTGCTTTTGTCTTGTTACATGCGCGTTTGGTGCATGACAGTTGAACTGTAGCAAGCCGTATTGGCTCAGTGTATGTTGAAGAAGGAAAGCATCCTGACCCCTCTCGGAGCATCCGCGGATCCCAGCTCCGCTACACAACATGATAACACGTTTTTCAATCAAAGTGCTTGCACAGACTTTATCAACACATAGTTAAACAAACATCAAAAAGGGTTCCCTGACCTTTTTTGTGTGTGTGTGTGTGACTATGTTTACCTATTCCTCCTGTGGAGGGAGATGCCCGACTTTACATTAGATGCACACCACCACCTGCCCTGTCCAAACCCACCCTCGTCGCAAGACTGTGCCCTAGTGCCCGCCCAGCCCAGGCCAGGAGGGGCGCGTGGTCATGGGTCGAAGGCGGAGGAGGAGGAGGAGGAGGAGGAGGGAGAAGGAGGGAGGAGGAGCAGGAGGGAGGAGGAGGAGGAGGGAGGAGCAGGAGGGAGGAGCAGGAGGGAGGAGGAGGAGGAGGGAGGAGGGAGGAGGGAGGAGGAGGAGGAGGAGGAGGAGGAGGAGGAGGAGGAGGAGGAGGAGGTCTGGCGGCGGTGCATGGCCGTCGGCATCCGAGCGAAGCGCCCGCCCCGAGGCCCTCAGACCCTGGGGGCCCGCGGGCGGCGGAGCTGTGCTCGGGCCCCTCCGCCGCGTGGACTTCTGCTCGCGCCGTGGGCCCGCTCTTCGGCCTGCGAGCGCCTGGAGGCCCGACGGCGGCGCTCACGGCCCGCCAGAACCTGCGAGCACCTGGCCCCGACGAAGGCGCTCACGACGACGCTCACGACGCCCTTTTTCCTGCGAGCACCTGGGGCCCGAAGGGGGCCTGCCGGGGGGGAGGCCAAGGACGAGATGCCGACGACGACGCCCACGGCCCCCCAAACTCGCGGCCTCTCCTGGAGCCCGCCCTGCCCTGGCGCCTTGTCCGGGATCGCCTCCGCCACGTCGGCCCAGGAGATGCCCATGGCGCTCGACGCCGCGGCGCACGACCTCATCGGGGTTGTCGTCGTCGTCGTCGTCGTCGTCGTCGTCGTCGTCGTCGTCGTCGTCGTCGTCGTCGTCGCCGCCCAGATGGTTTAGGCCGCGCGAGCCGGGGTCACGCGGGTCGTGGGGGGAAGCGTCTGGGCGGAGGGAGGGAAGGAGGAAGAAACCGAGAAGGACGGGAGAGCCGGGGAAGCGCGTTTGAGGAGGGAGGGGGGGGGGAGAGCGAAAGAAGCAGAGGAGGATGGAATTGTATCGCAGCACGAGCTGTCCTCTCTCTCTCTCTCTCTCTCCCTCGAGCTCCGCCGTTGGTCCCCCTCCCCTCGATGACGGGGGCCCTGTCCTGGTCTGAAGCCGACGGCGATGCTGCAGGAGCAGGAGGAGAATCATGATCAAGCTCGTGGAGCCCTGCCGAGGAAAGGAATCACAGAGCTTCATACCGGGCCGATCACCACGCCACATTTGGGAGCAGCAGGACGAGCAGCACGAAGAGGAGGGAGGCCAAAGGGGGCCGCAGCGAGGCCAGGGCCGCTAGGCGCGCCGCGCGTGTTGGTAAAAGTCCAGCTTGTCCACCTCCGCGGCGTGGCGTTTTTTTGGGGGGGGCGAAGAGGGGCGGCACGTTCCTGCTCCTGCACCTGCCCCCTCTGCTGCTGCGGCTGCTGCTTTAACCCCCACCTCCTGCTCCTGCTCCTGCGCCTGCGCCAGCTCCTGCCGTTCCTGTTCTTCTGCTGCCCCCGTCGGTCCTCCTGCAGGAGAAGCAGGAACAGGATGAGCAAAGGCAGCAGGAATAACGACTGTGGGAACGGCAGACACAGCAGGAGCAGGAGCAGGAGCAGGGCGGCCCGACACCACCACGCCGCCCCCTCCCCTCCCCCCTCCCCTGTCCCCTTGCCCCTGCCCCCCGCCCCCCCCCCCCCGCCCCCCCCCCTGTCCCTTCGTCCTCCCCTGCCCCCCTTCTCCTTGCTGCCCCCCCTTCCCACCCCTTCCCACCCCCCCCGTCCCCCTCGGCACAGCACGGGCGGCGGCGGCGCTGCTCGGCGCGCCGGCGATGCGCGCCGGTGCGGCGCGCGGGCCGCCTCGGCCAGGTCCTCGGCCGAGAGGCCCTCCCCAGACACCGCCGCGGCGTTGGCGGCGATGCGCGCGGGCGCGGCGCTCTTGGGGATGGCCACTAGGCCCTGCGGGCCCCTCTCCGCGTCGCGGCCCTCCTTCGAGCAGGAGATCGACTGCACAATTGATGTACCACAAACTTAAAAACTTAAATTATCCCGGCAAAGCAACCTAACAGCGATGTGTAGGAGCATATCTGGAAGCATTCCCCTTAAGATTCAGATGAGAACCCAGTTGTAGAATTCTGCTGTTCTCGCAGTCGTAGTCGCATTCGCGATGACAGTCGCAGTGGCAACGGCAATCGCAGTCACAGCCTCAGCCTCAGCCTGCCTCAGCCTCAGCCTCAGCCTGCCTCAGCCTCAGCCTGCCTCAGCCTCAGCCTCAGCCTGCTTCAGCCTCAGCCTCAGTCTGCCTTCAGCCTCGGCCTCAGCCTCAGCCTGCCTCAGCCTCAGCCTGCATCAGACTCAGCCTCAGCCTCAGCCTGCCTCAGCATCAGCCTGCCTCAGCCTCAGCCTCAGCCTGCCTCAGCCTCAGCCTCAGCCTGCTTCAGCCTCAGCCTCAGTCTGCCGTCGGCCTCGGCCTCAGCCTCAGCCTGCCTCACCCTCAGCCTGCATCAGCCTCAGCCTCAGCCACAGCCTGCCTCAGCTCAGCCTCAGCCTCAGCCTCAGCCTCAGCCTGCCTCAGCCTCAGCCTCAGCCTCAGCCTCAGCCTCCTGCCTGCTCAGCCTCAGCCTCAGCCTCAGCCTGCATCAGCCTCGGCCTCAGCCTCAGCCTGCCTCAGCCTCAGCCTGCATCAGCCTCAGCCTCAGCCTCAGCTGCCTCAGCATCAGCCTTCAGCCTCAGCCTCAGCCTGCCTCAGCCTCAGCCTCAGCCTGCTTCAGCCTCAGCCTCAGTCTGCCTTCAGCCTCGCCTGCCTCAGCCTCAGCCTGCCTCAGCCTCACCCTGCATCAGCCTCAGCCTCAGCCTCAGCCTGCCTCAGCCTCAGCCTCAGCCTGCCTCTGCCTCAGCCTCAGCCTGCTTCAGCCTCAGCCTCAGTCTGCCTTCAGCCTCGGCCTCAGCCTCAGCCTGCCTCAGCCTCAGCCTGCATCCGCCTCAGCCTCAGCCTCAGCCTGCCTCAGCTCAGCCTGCCTCAGCCTCAGCCTCAGCCTGCCTCAGCCTCAGCCTCAGCCTGCTTCAGCCTCAGCCTCAGTCTGCCTTCAGCCTCGGCCTCAGCCTCAGCCTGCCTCAGCCTCAGCCTGCATCAGCCTCAGCCTCAGCCTCAGCCTGCCTCAGCATCAGCCTGCCTCAGCCTCAGCCTCAGCCTGCCTCAGCCTCAGCCTCAGCCTGCTTCAGCCTCAGCCTCAGTCTGCCTTCAGCCTCGGCCTCAGCCTCAGCCTGCCTCAGCCTCAGCCTGCCTCAGCCTCAGCCTCAGCCTGCCTCAGCATTCAAAATGTGGCCCGGGAATGGAGTTCTGGGAACTCGAAGAACACGAAGTGGCCTACAGTTGGCTCCGGGCATTCAAAATCATGCCCAGGAATGGAGTTCTGGGAACTCGAAGACCACGAAGTGGCCTACAGTTGGCTCCGGGCATTCAAAATCATGCCCAGGAATGGAGTTCTGGGAACTCGAAGACCACGAAGTGGCCTACAGTTGGCTCCGGGCATTCAAAATGTGGCCCGGGAATGGTGTTCTGGGAACACGAAGAACACGAAGTGGCCCACGGTTAACTCCGGGCATTCAAAATCATGCCCAGGAATGGAGCTCTGGGAACTCGAAGACCACAAAGTGCGTTACTGTTTGCTTAAAACGAGTTCCCCGGCATCCCCCCGGCATCCTCCCCCGGATCGCGCCCAGACCCCCCTGGGGCGTCATGATGCTCTCTTTTGACCCTGCTAGAAACCTATCAGTCTTCGCTGTGAGGTAAATAGTCGTCGAATCGGCGGAGGCTGCTTAGAAGCTTCGTAGACCTACGAACATTTCTGCGCGCTTTCTCGTGGATTGCGACGAGGATATGAATCGTGAAATGAACCAGCTTTGTAGTCGCTCCCCTACAAGTTGCCTTCCAGACGCCCCCGAGAGGTCAACCACGAGATCCCAACCAACATCCATAAGGCCTCCTCCTCCTCCTCCCCCTTCACCCTTCCTCCTCCTACTCCCTTCCGCCTCCTCCTCCTCCTCCTCCTCCTCCTGCCCCCCCCCCTCGTGTTGTCTTTCGTCATCTTCAGGGTCGGCGGCAACGGCCGTAAGGCCTTCGCAATAAACCAGCTCTGTAGTCGCTCCCCGACTCGACTCCTCCCCCGCCCCGTGCACTCCGGCTGTCCCCCGCCCACTCCCCCGCCCTCCTGCCGGCAGCAAGGGGGCCACGAGGAGGAACGGGGGCGGCTGGCCTCTCTCGCCTCATAATGCCGCCGCCCGAGGGTGTTCCGCAGCGGAGGGCCTTGCTTTCGAGGGGTCTTGCTGGCAGTGGGTGGTGCGGGTGATCCCCCGCTCTCCCCCTTCCCCTTCCCCCGATCTCCCGCCCCCCCCCCCCCTCCCCCCTTCCCCCCTCCCCTTTCTCCCCTCGGTTCGCCCCCCCTCGTTTTCCCGCTGTCCCTCGCCGTCGACTGTCCCGTTTCGGCGCCTCTCGAAGGGCGCCACGGGGCCTCCACGAGAATGGGTGGGCAAGGGCCTTTCCCCCCCTCCCGCCTTCTTCTAAATCCCTTCACCCCTCGGCCTCTTTTTGTAGTTCTCCTTCGCACCTTTCCTCCTACAGCCCCCCCCCTCTTTCCAACAGGCCGTGGGGGCGCACGCCAGCGGCATCGCCTCCTCTCCTGCCCCTGCCTCCCGACCTCCCGACCCCCCCCCCCTCCATCATCCCCACTCCTCATTGCTTCCGTACATACACAAACATCTACACACATCTACACACATCTACGCACACGCGCACATGCGCACATGCGCACATGCGCACACGTGCACATGCGCACACGTGCACACACAACCAAACACACACATTCACGCACAAACGCATTCACACACATTCCCCTTCACGCACATACGCACAAATACACACATCGATACGTGCGCACACGTACGTCTCTACGAGACCGCGCCTGGGCGCGCGCGGATCGCGCGCTCGGGCTCTGGCGAGAGGGAGCAAGGGGGGGAGGAGCCGTGGAGGAAGGAGGGGAACGAGGAGGGGAGCGGCCAGGGAGGCCAGGGGGCGGTGCCCGACTCGCCGACTCCCCACGGCGAGCACTGCTCCACGGCTGGCTCGGAGACGCTCTGGGAAGCCTGCGGCAAAGGTCGACCAAAGCAGTGTGTTCCGTGTTCGTGTTGTTGTCGGTTTCCCTCGTCATGCCTCCAGTCCGCCTTCGCTGCACGACGTAGCCGAACGGTCGACCCCTGCTCCACCGCTGGCTCTGGGAAGCGCTGGGAGGCCTGCGGGGCCGTCTCGGGGGGGCAGACGGACTCGGAGGCATATCGAGGACATCTCGGGGGCCAAGGAGGAGTATGTCGGGCCGTCCTCGGACCAGAAAGCAATGGGGGTGTCCTGGCGGCCTCGTGGGGACCCATCGAGAGCGTAGGGGTCTACCTTGGCGGAGGGCCGTGGAGTCGTGGAGGCTTCTGGAAGGGTCGTCGTGGCCTCTTGAACGCAAAGTGGTTCCTGAAGCTCTCCCGGCAATGCCTTGGGGCCATCAAACGCATCGTAATACAAATCAGCGCGAAGCACAACCAGAAACGGGAAACAACGCAACTGGGAAACATGTCGGGGCATTGGATGGCAAGTTTGCATCCTCTTGGGCTTCTTGGGGTCGGGTTTCGGGCCTAGTGGGGCCTCCCTTGAGTTCTTGGGGCGCCTGCTGGGGGCCGCTTGGCGGGGGAGCAGCCCTTTTCGAAAGCGCGCAGCTAAGACGGCAAGAGCCGATTGATAACTTGACGAGCGCCACTCAGCGGAGAATTCCATCAAATCTCATCCTCCTCGGTCGTGCGCTGACAGAAGCGTCCGCGGCAAAAGGAGGCCGAGAAGGAGGGACGAGAAGAAAGAGGAACAGTGGATGGGAGGAGGAAGAGGAGGAGGAGGAGGAGGAGGAGGAGGAGGAGGAGGAGGAGGAGGAGGAGGAGGAGGAGGAGGAGGAGGAGGAGGAGGAGGAGGAGGAGGAGGAGGAGGAGGAGGAGGAGAAGGAGGAAAAGGAGGAGAAGCACGCAAGCAAGACCTGGGCAGCCGTAGTCCTCCGCTGTCTGGCCCACCTCAGCTGGGTGAGAATTCTAGCCACGAAAATTGTTGTTGGTGTGATCCATGCGCTACTCGGGCAGGCCTGCGGGACCTTATAGCCCATCTCTCGGACCTTCAAAGCCCGCGTTAGCACAAAGGCGCACCGCATTCGTTCAGCTCAGTAAGCGCTGAGGCTTAGAGCACTTGGGCCCATGACCTCAACCTCGGGGCTGACGGGTGCGGGGGGAGGCTCCAGGGAACTGCCTCTAAAGAAGCAAAAGCAGTGCAGCAACCTCTGGGGGTCGCGCCCAAGTTCGCGGTGCGGGCGCCTCCGTGCTACTTAGTCGATCCCTCCCACTCCCCTTCAAACTCCACTCCCCCCCCCGGTCCTCTACTCGGACTTAAGCAGCTGTCAGGCTTGGAAAATAAACCCAAGTGTATTTTTCACATCTCAACTGACTGTCACAGACTCAGGTGAGAAGCGAGCTGTTGGTGCCGATCTTCTCGCTATGGACTGCTCTACAAATCCGTGGCATCAGCTTGATCAACGCATGACGCGTAGGCTGGGCACTCAGAAGTCCAAGGGTCTCGCGGGCCAAAAGAGCCTGGACCAGAGCACGAGACACCTCAGATGGCAGCGCTGCTCCCTCGCCTCAGAGCCCAAGATCCCACCCGCTCCTCGTAGGCGACTTGCCTCCGAGCAAAGGTGGCCCCGTGAAGCCCGAAAGGGAACCGGAGAAGGGGCACTCTCTATCTCTCTCTCTCTCTCTCTCTCTCTCTCAGGCAAGCTATGACGATAGCCACATTCTATGGAAGAGAAACTAATCCATTCCATTTCATGCCAACGAGACTCCATCTCCGTCCGTACTGCTGCGATTGAATAGTAATGATAATA